GTTGGGGGGAGAAGCATGGGGTGAGCCCCATGGTAGGGCCAGGGGGTCAGGGTGAGGGCTCAGGGGTCTCCTTACCCGCAGTAGTCGGGTGGCACCATGCCGTAGACGTGGACGGCGTCACACAGCTCCACCGCGATCACCATGGTGAACCATCCGGTGCTGAGCCACGAGCGCGACTTCTCCCTGGGGAGAAGAAACAGGGGGTACACGGGGATGAGGTGACACAGGTCACGGACCCCCCAAGGTCCTCAACCAGCCCCAGAGACCCCCATCCCGATGCCACAGCCAGGGAGCAGCCCAAGAGCCAGCTCTGCTCAGGGACCTGGAAAAGGGAGGGGACACGGTGCAGGAGGTGGCTTCAACGTACCTGTCCTTCCCCGTCTCCCCCCGAAACAGGTCATCAAACTGCTTCATGCGGCCGGGGGAGACGACATAGGCTGTCATGTTGGGGAAGGAGGCGCTCACGCGTTGGATGATTTTCAGGAGGCTCTTCTGCATCTTGGCAGGACGCCCCCAGAAGATGAAGATGGTCTCTGGGGTCTTGTTGACAAACTCCTGGGGCCGCTTGAGGACACGGTAGAGGCTGGAGTGGGCCACCACGCGGAAGGTGGTCTTGTTGCCCACGTCAATGTCGTAGCCGGTGGTGGGAGCATCGTTCATGCGGATGGTGCACTCGGCCCCGTCGATGGCCGTGCCCAGGTGGGTGCCCAGGAGGTGGCTGGAGCTGGTGACAATGACGCACTGGTGGCAGCGGGCAGTCAGGGTCTGCGGACCACAAGTGCTGTGAGCAGGTGACTTTGGTGCCACTGCAGCTCGGCAGGGAGGGATGGAGCTGGCACAGGGGACAAGGCACTGCCGTCCCCCATGGAGCCACCATCCCACCGGAGGGGACAATTTGGCTGGACGTCAGGGGAGGGCCAAATCCTGCACACAGCACCGAGGCCGAACCCCACCGCCCAGCTCGTACCTTGTTCCCGCAGACGGGCAGGTACCCGCTTTTCACCCCCCACTTCTTGAGGTCGGGGGGCCGGCGGGCTCTGCCCCGCAGGCGGCTGTAAGGGA